GGACACACGACCGGCGCCTGGGGAGGGGACTGGCTTCCGCAGCTCCTCCAGCTGTGTTGTGCCGCCTTTGCTCAGAGCAGGGAGGTCTGCTGAGCAAATGGAGGGGGCGTGGTTTTCAGAAGCCAGTTTTCACGGCTTTAGTTCACACTGGATTAAGTTCCAAGCGTCCAGGTCATCGCTAGCAACAGCAGACCAGGCCACTCTCGAGCCTGCCTCTGGGTCACTGCCCGTCCCTGTCCCCCACCCCTAGGCAGCCCAGCCCCAGCAGGGGCAGTGACTCTCCTAACTTACAGGGTCTATGGGAAGTGCAGAGATGCAAAGACCTGGGTGTTGGGGCAAGAAGTGGCCTTAGCAAGACTTGAATGCTATGAACTGGCCATGGAACAGCCTGTGATGATGGAGTGTGAATTTTTTTTTCAAGAATGCAGTGTGTGAGAATTAACTCTTTTTAATATAAAGTATAGCAGATGAACCTGATGATCCTTTATTGGCACCGTTAGGCATCACTTGTGTTTTTTGGTGATAACAATATAAAATGTACTCTATAAAATATACCATATTCATGAAGTATTTTTAAACGTGACATCAAAGTTGGACCTTTTGTCTTTGAAGAGGTATCTATATGGAGCCTCTGATTTTATAGATCAGACCACTTTAAGGCCCAGGAAGGGTAAGTAACTTACCATGAGTCACACAGCCTGAGCTGAGACTGTGTCTCACACCCCCTCCCCCCCTACACCTGCAGCACACCCTCAGTGAGGGAGCTGCCCAGGGGGCCTGACTGAGTGATACTGTTTGGAAGATTAGTAAGCATGAGATGAGGCCTCCTGCCTCTCCTCCCACAGGACTGGTGAAGAAATTCCTCATGGAAGGGACTTGGCCCACAACAGTCGTGGGAACCAGTCTCCTGCCTTGAGAACACTCGAGAACTCACCCAATCCACCTTGCCCATGGTTCCATCTATCCATCCACCCACGCACTCATCCACTCATCTCTCCAGCCATCCTTCCATCCACCCATCCATCCAACCAACATTCCTACAGTGAGGACCTAACGTGCCAAGCATGGTTCTGGGTGCTGGGGTGCAAAGATCACTAAGACACAACGCCTGCCCTCTGCACAGAGCCCTCTGCCGGCTGGGAGAAACAGTCACACACACGGACAGCTGACATCCCGTGAGGTGTGTGCAGGCACAGATATCACACCACGTAACGGACATTAACCGGGGTGTGGAGTCAGAGCAAGGGGCTCTTGGAAGGAGCGAGCTGATCTGAGGCCTGCAGAGGCACCGTGCCCAGGAGGGTGAGGAGAGGAGTGTTCCAGGTAGGAGGAACAGCATGTGCTAAGGCCTGGGGTGAGAGGGCACATCCCGCCCACGCGGCTCCCCAGGCCCCTCTAGTTCTCGCTCCTCCCCTGCTCTAGCTCCAGTCCCGCTTGCTTAAGTCCCAGCTCCTGCTGCCTCTCCCTGGCCAGTCTCCTCCCGTGCGGAAGCCAGGCTAGGATTTGAGCCAAGCAGGCTGGTGACACTCAGGAGGGGGAACCTGCAGAGGCCAGGGCTCAGCCTGAGCCCTGAGAGGCAGGAGGGTGAGGAGGAAATAAAGGGGTGGGCTGCAGGGCCGAGAACGCCTGTAACGAGCCCCAGGCTCTGGGTCCCCAACTCAACTGACATACAGAGACCTGGAGTTCTGTGCAATGGATCACCAGTCGTGACCATCAGCTGGGTGTGCTCTTCACGCGGTACCTCTGGAAACTGCTTGTCTGTCACCTCCCCTGCTTGAAGCCCCTTAGTGGCCCTCTGCACAGCAGTGTCTGACTGTCCCCAGGCCTGGCTCTGTGTCTCTTGGGTCACACCTCCGCTCCTCTCCTGTTTGACGTCGTGCACTAGTCACGTGTGCCTCCAGTGCCCTGAAAAGCCACACTCCGATTCTGCGTTCGTACGTGCCTCTCTTCCA